ATTATAACCGAAACGAGAACGATTTAGCTGCAATGTTTTGCGCAGGCACATTGGGAGTTTTATATGGCAAAAACACTTCCCAAATCAGTGACGCTTCAAAATATGACTCTGGTGGTGGATTGGTTTTCCAGTCATGCGAAAGTGAGTATTTGCGTACTGCTCATTTTGGGAATGCTCTCATTTATCTAATAGTGACGTCAATACCCTGAAATTCGTGGGGGTGGTGGTTGTTGTAATAATAACAATAGCCCCATTGTTCTTTCCACCTCTCTTAATTTTAATTCGTCTCCATTTATGCTTATAAAATCAAAAATTATATTAAGCTTAAATATTGTAGAGTACTCAGAGGCTGAAGACGACTCCCTGCCGACTGAATTTCTGATAGTGGATTTGTCGCAATTAACAGAAATTTCACTTGTTTGTTTAACGGCATATCAACTCCTTATGGGTCATTTAATGCCGAAATTTAATTTTCTTGGGAGCTTTGACGTAATAAAAATGTTATTCTGCTTTCATAATTTAATACATGGTAGTTGATACTCATCTTTTGTGCATTACATGTTTGTGTAGACATAATTATTAGAGGCGATGATATGTGTGTTTGGTTGAAGTTATATTTTGAAATATAATTTGATTTAAGAAATTGTAGGATATTATTTGGATTAAAGTCATGAAAAAGAGTTCTTTTTTAACAGTATATCCACTTCTATGAGTTATTTAATGCCAAAATCTATTTGATCTAATCAATATCTATTTGATATATTCCCTTTCTTCTAGCTTATGAGCCTACATGGTATTTGGAAGGCATCGTCAGTTGGGGAGTGAAAGACGGCATTGGAGTTTACGTCCGAGTTTCCGCCTACACAAATTGGATTAGATCAATAATCTAAGTCGCCAACATCATTGGCTTATTTCAAACTTTAATTAAAAATCTTTTTTTCCGTTTTTTCAAGCAAACTATTTGCAAATGTTGCAATTCAGAGAGAAAAATATGGAATCTCTCATTTAATAACAAAACTAAAACTCTCATATATAATAAATTCATTTACATTTAACAAAAAAGTAATTTTTTGTTGAACATTGCTGTTAATTCATTTTGTGTCTTTCTCTTTTCTTCAAGATCAGGCTCAGGTTCTCTTTCTGTCCCTTCTTTCTCCCTCTCAATTTCCGTATACTTATTATCCCTCCCTTTCTTTTTCGAAGTTCGACTTTTCTCTCTTTTCTTTCCTTTCTACTTCTAATACATTAAATTTCTCGATACACTTCTCCCCACCCTCACTTTACTTTAATCTGTCTTCTAAGCAGTTTATTTCATACTACGTTATAATTTTGTTCTCTCTCTCTCTCTCTCTTTCTTCAATATCTGTATTTCTCTTCGTCCAATATCTTTCGGGCCATGTTTGTTGGGGTAGAGACTGCATCCCCATGAAGAGGGGTAAAACCCCTCCAAAGGTTGTGGGTGTCTCCCCTTAATGTCAGAAGGCGGGATCCTGTTTGCTGAATAGTCCATGATACTAATGTCTATACGGCCATTTGCGCAACAACATTCCACTTTGGCTCTTACTAGGGTTAGAAGGGCTATCGGTTTATCAAGACCTAACTCATACAGAACTGTTGTAATTACACTATACCCACTAATGGCTTTATCAATTAATGCGCCATCAACATAATAGAGCTATTTGTAGTAGAGTGAATCGGTTTGAAAGTACAAAGCGTCAATATACGCCAGAATTTGGACGGGTGGGGATTAATCAATGGCTTGAGGACGCTTTTAAACTTTAGCATATCATCCACGCAGTCCTGTTAAAGAAAGCGAATGGGTTACCTCATTGACATAACCCATTATGGAGCTCTGAAGTGGGTGGAGTGCATGGATGATGAAATCTCATATAATACGTATGTTCTATAACAAATCAACCAAGATGGAATCTGATTCTGACAAATCGTAGAAAATTCCCTTCTTAAATTCACAGTTATCGAATCTCTCACCATTCTTCACAGAAAAGATCATATCCTCAAACCTAACCCCTGAAAATGTAATAAAATTTAAAATGGCACTTTACTGGTGACAGTAATAAACCCACAATAAAACATTCAGACTACTAAAATCATATCGAACGAGTAGCGAACACATCCAAATGAGTAGCGAAAAGTCCTTCTGCTCTATTGAACAACAAACTAAAAAAAAAATCAGAACTACAAAGAATAACTATAATCAATCAACAACCTCCCCCAGCGATCACAAACCTACTCAGAACCAACTAATCAATTCTAGTAAAAAACAGGAAATACAGAACTACAAGCTAATGCAGACCCCACCCCTACATCGCACAATAACAATCTGCTCAATATTCATTCAGTCCAACTCCAATGGCTACATAATAGTCTATACTAGAAATAGCAACAAATAATGGCAACTCAACAAAATAAATTGGCCCAAATTAACAGAAGTTTGCCATTGACGTGGCAGCTCTACAGTAAACAGTACTTCAAGACAGTGGATCGCTAAATGAACACTACACTGCCTTCTGGCAGGGGAGAGGAATTGATTAATGCAAGGAATTCAGATTTCGACTCGCTTTCAGTATAATAATCACTCAGCATTCTGTTGCAGATGGTACGTAGGCACCGTATGTGGAAGGTATCAAGTTGAGAATTCAAGATTCTGCACCATACATTAGGGATGTCAATACACACCAATTTTTACCTTTAACGAAACATCACGAGAATTCCAAAGTCTGTGGAACTTTTCTGTAGCAAAAGGGGCGTTTGATTTTGCAAAAGCTTGTGAATTGGTTGTTATAGTACTGCTACTTTGGAAACACAAATATACATTTGATAGTAAAAATATCTATAGATGACGGGATTATCCTCCTACGTAATACCAACCCAGAACAAATAGACCGACTTGTGATCAAATCTTCAAGGATCGTGGATTAAGTAATTTTACTAACACCAACGCCAAGGTGATCAACTTTCTGGATGTCACTTTTGACTTACCCAAGTGAATATATAAACCTTTCACTAAGGAACTCAGGAATTTTAAATAATATTAATCAGTACAATTTACACTTTCAACTAACTCTAGCAATAAAGATATTTTTAATAATAAAGGACGAAATATGTAGATGCGTTAGAAAAAAGCAAACATATTAAACTAGAATAGATGAAAACAAGACAAACGACAACAGGCATAAGCTTAGAAAACGCAACAAAAATTGGTTTAACCTACCATTTAACCTAAATGTCAAAACCAACGTCGGTAAAATTTTCCTTAACTTAATCCATGAGCATTTCAACCATATCCTAATCCATAAAAATATTTTCAACAAAGAAATATCCAAGAAAGTGCAATGAGTTGGCCAAAATGTCAAACATGCAGCTAAGAAAGGGGAAATCATTGATTCAGCAATCCATCAATTTACATGTGACTAATATATATAAATTAGTCACATGTAAATTGCTGGATCAATGATTTCCCTTTCTTAATTGCATTTGATATATATATATATATATATATATATATATATATATATATATATATATATATATAATACATGCCTGGTTAGCCTCGAAAAAAGAAACATTGACAGACCTTTAAAAAAATTGCGATCAACATGCCAGGTGTGTCAGAAAAACTGCAGAAACCGTTATATAAGATTAAAAGAAAAACATTAAAAATCGCTACACAATAGCTTTTATGTTTCCGCACTACAGTTGTTCTTCCTCAGGCGATGGTAAATAACTGGTGAGTAAAACATTATTTTTAAATTTCAGAAGCAGACAACAACAAATTAAAATGAGGCATGTAGGCTTATCCTGATTAACCAATTAGTCAGACGTACGCTAAATTCAAATAACCTAAAAATTGGGGGATTTTGATCATAATAAAATGTGGTTCGAAATATAATCCTAGACAAGATCAACAGTGGCAGACAAGAACTTATTACAAACTAGAAGCGGATGGTGACCATGTTTCATAATTATGAAACAAATGTAACTTGCTCAATTTTAAAAGAAGCTAAGAGAAGGGACAGGAAGATAATTAAACGTATGGTTAATTGTAACATATTTTATAGTTGATAATAAAAAGGCTTCTTTAAGAAACCAGTAAATGCTACTTAGGTGTTTAAAAATAAAAAAAAATGTGTATTATTCATGCAAGATTTTGATAATGCCGACTAAACAGCAATACATAGCTATATTAAATTCAAATAAACAAAATAAAATAATCATTCATGGAAGTTGCACTGCAGTTTACTTACTAATTATGACCATATGAAATAGTATTAACAAATTTAAAGTTCATCCATATTTTAAGGTGAAAGGTAAGCTATGTCTACAATTTACAGTTAATCCACTTCTATGATTTAATAGAGAATTTTTATCAGCAAATCTAATAATTTCAAATTTATTTATAAGAAGCAAAGTTCATTTAAGGATTTACAAGTTCTAGCTTTTTAAAAACTTTCCATTTAACTGTAGTTTTATTAATGTTCTATTTTTATAAATGCTATTGGTGAAAGATAGGATACGTTGGTAACACGTAGTTTTAAAAGAATTCTTAGTACTCCCTATATAAAATTTTCAACAGCCGGATATTCTGTTGTTGAAATAGTGCTTAGATAAGCAAGAGAGTTGGCTAGCAAAAAAGGATGATATACTGTTAAGGTAAATGAGTTTGGTCATAAAGTTTTATAGAACTTTATTTGGACGTTTTGTTGTTTCATAAAAATATTTTACTTTTTTAACAAACAATTTTTATATGAACTATTGTCTAATTATACCCCCCTGTAAGTCCTACAGATGAGTTTTGCAAAAATGCTAAGAATTGCTATCCTGACTAGTGTGACCTAACGTATATCCACATACACACATAGGCATCACACACACACACACACACACACACACACACACACACACACACACACACACACACACACACACATTTTAATATAGTCAGTAACGTGCCAATACCAAAACGGATCATGCCAGGTAAGATTAAGTGACATTTGACAACATAGTTTAATTTAAAGTAAATCATTTAATCATGTAACTAGGTAAGGACTTGTCACCAAGTAACACATATACCATGAAGCATTTTCTGTGAGGAACCATTTTCGCAACCAATATTTACCTCACAGTTGAATAAATATAATAATTTTTCACTTCTTCCCTTCCATACTTTTGTAGCAACAATATTCAATTTGACCAAGTGGATACAGTCAATTTTAAAGTCAGCAGGATCTGTTTTATTTCCTTTCCAGGGAAAGGAAGAAATCTCACTATCACCATATATCTTTCATCACTAACCTGACACTAGAGTATAAATATAATTTATGACAATTTCTCGTTCTCATTTCTCATTGACAACTCATCTAATTTTTATATGCGCCTTATACAAGTTTTATATATATAATGTGAAAATGGATGAGTTTGGCTACTCATATTGCGTGGGGAGTAGACACCCAAAATAAAATGGGAAGTTTTCCATAACGAGACGAGAAATAGATCAGATCTCATATTGGGTTGGACAGGGTGACAGGAGGTAAAAGGTAACTGTTACAGACAACAAAAAATCACGTTAGAAAGAGGTTTGAGAGAAGATTTTTTTACAATGAGTTTCACGCTAGACAAGGTCTGGGGTCACTTGAGTTAGAGGGTTACAGAGTAAGAGACACAGTTTATGCGGATATGTGGGGAAAATAACAGTTAACCTTAGACTTGAACAAGTTAAGATTTTAATGATCCGGGAGCAGTGATACGCTGGAAGAAGCTGTTCGAGTGGAATACAGAGGGCGGGTTGCTAAATGTAAGTGGCACGGCGGGTTCTAACCATGATGGATTAGAACTGGTGGAACCAAGGAATGAAGTTCGTCCTAGCACTTTCCATGGAAATAACAGTAGAGCAGTGAGAGGTTTGCCACATCACTTCTGAGAAAGAGAGAGAGTAGTTTCAGGGTAAAAAATAATGTGTCACCCATAATGACGCAGAGATGCTTTTGGATTCTATCCAGACTGGAAAGTGAAGACTTGGCAGCTCCTGCCCAAATATGATAGCTGTACTCCATTTTTAGGTCTGATCTGGATCTTGTAAAGGTAGAGAATAGCACGAGGAATCAGGTACTTACTGGAGCATCTATTCTGCATCTTTAGTGATGGATTGTATGTAAGAGTTTCATTTGATGTTTGAGGTGAGTTTAAGGTCCAAATAGCCTCCCAAGACACGGTTCCTTCCTGAGGGAACATTTATTCATCGTGACTGGAAGCAGTTCGGGGCCTGATCGGCGATGATGTTTCGAGGCATTGAATATAACCACTACTGAAATTGAAAAAATCATCAAAAATGGCAAAATACAATACTCAGGGACATTCACTGACTCCGTATGATGAAAGAATTGCAGAAAAATGTTTAACATTTTTCATTCCTTATCGGTGGATTTGTGTGTAATTGTGACACACGCACAGAAATA